AGAAAAAAGGACGATGAAACGGCAAACAACAACAAAAAAACCAAAACCACATGATACTGCACACAATTGGAACTTCTGAAAACATTAATAAAACCACCAACACGAAAAAAAAGCCAACAACAGCAAGCTCACCAATCTCCCCATTCATCGTCATCAGCCTCCTCCATTTGTACCCTTCCCACAGACATGGATGCAGCTAAATTTGCACCGCATGGATTTGAAAACTGCATCTCGTCTTCATCAAAATCATCATCATTCCAGCCACTGTCAGTTTCCGCCTTTACAGGCTCCGTCGCCTCCCTCAAATCAGAAAAATGTGCAGAAGCAAGCATTAAACCTCGAAACAAGATCAAATAGTCATCCTGCTCTAAACGAACAATTCTCATCCTTTTTATACTCTCCTCGCGCTCAAGAAAATCCGAATTTTCAGGCGAAAGTAAAAAGTTCATAAAAGTCAAATTTACCCCATAGACCTCCCCACCACTAACGTCTTCTGCACCAGCGAGAAAGTGAGCTTTTTTCTCCTCAGCCAGGCGGCTTCCTTCTGCTTCCTCAGCCAGGCGGCGTGCTTCTGCTTCCTCAGCCAGGCGACGTGCTTCTGCTGCTTCCTCAGCCAGGCGGCGTGCTTCTGCTGCTTCCTCAGCCAGGCGACGTGCTTCTGCTGCTTCCTCAGCCAGGCGGCGTGCTTCTGCTGCTTCCTCAGCCAGGCGGCGTGATTCTGCTTCCTCAGCCAGGCGGCGTGCTTCTGCTGCTTCCTCAGCCAGGCGACGTGCTTCTGCTTCTTCCTCAGTCAGGCGGCGTGCTTCTGCTGCTTCCTCAGCCAGGCGGCGTGCTTCTGCTTCTTCCTCAGCCAGGCGGCGTGCTTCTGCTTCTTCCTCAGCCAGGCGGCGTGCTTCTGCTTCTTCCTCAGCCAGGCGGCGTGCTTCTGCTGCTTCCTCAGCCAGGCGGCGTGCTTCTGCTTCCTCAGCCAGGCGACGTGCTTCTGCTTCCTCAGCCAGGCGGCGTGCTTCTGCTTCCTCAGCCAGGCGACGTGCTTCTGCTTCCTCAGCCAGGCGACGTGCTTCTGCTGCTTCCTCAGCCAGGCGGCGTGCTTCTGCTGCTTCCTCAGCCAGGCGACGTGCTTCTGCTTCCTCAGCCAGGCGGCGTGCTTCTGCTGCTTCCTCAGCCAGGCGACGTGCTTCTGCTTCCTCAGCCAGGCGGCGTGCTTCTGCTGCTTCCTCAGCCAGGCGGCGTGCTTCTGCTGCTTCCTCAGCCAGGCGGCGTGCTTCTGCTGCTTCCTCAGCCAGGCGACGTGCTTCTGCTTCCTCAGCCAGGCGGCGTGCTTCTGCTTCTTCCTCAGCCAGGCGGCGTGCTTCTGCTGCTTCCTCAGCCAGGCGACGTGCTTCTGCTGCTTCCTCAGCCAGGCGGCGTGCTTCTGCTGCTTCCTCAGCCAGGCGGCGTGCTTCTGCTTCCTCAGCCAGGCGGCGTGCTTCTGCTTCCTCAGCCAGGCGGCGTGCTTCTGCTTCCTCAGCCAGGCGACGTGCTTCTGCTGCTTCCTCAGTCAGGCGACGTGCTTCTGCTGCTTCCTCAGCCAGGCGGCGTGCTTCTGCTTCCTCAGCCAGGCGACGTGCTTCTGCTGCTTCCTCAGCCAGGCGGCGTGCTTCTGCTTCCTCAGCCAGGCGACGTGCTTCTGCTTCTTCAGCCAGGCGACGTGCTTCTGCTGCTTCCTCAGCCAGGCGGCGTGCTTCTGCTTCCTCAGCCAGGCGACGTGCTTCTGCTTCTTCAGCCAGGCGACGTGCTTCTGCTTCTTCCTCAGCCAGGCGGCGTGCTTCTGCTGCTTCCTCAGCCAGGCGGCGTGCTTCTGCTGCTTCCTCAGCCAGGCGGCGTGCTTCTGCTGCTTCCTCAGCCAGGCGACGTGCTTCTGCTTCCTCAGCCAGGCGGCGTGCTTCTGCTTCTTCCTCAGCCAGGCGGCGTGCTTCTGCTGCTTCCTCAGCCAGGCGACGTGCTTCTGCTGCTTCCTCAGCCAGGCGGCGTGCTTCTGCTGCTTCCTCAGCCAGGCGGCGTGCTTCTGCTTCCTCAGCCAGGCGGCGTGCTTCTGCTTCCTCAGCCAGGCGGCGTGCTTCTGCTTCCTCAGCCAGGCGACGTGCTTCTGCTTCTTCAGCCAGGCGACGTGCTTCTGCTTCTTCCTCAGCCAGGCGGCGTGCTTCTGCTGCTTCCTCAGCCAGGCGGCGTGCTTCTGCTTCTTCCTCAGCCAGGCGGCGTGCTTCTGCTGCTTCCTCAGCCAGGCGACGTGCTTCTGCTGCTTCCTCAGCCAGGCGGCGTGCTTCTGCTGCTTCCTCAGCCAGGCGGCGTGCTTCTGCTTCCTCAGCCAGGCGGCGTGCTTCTGCTTCCTCAGCCAGGCGACGTGCTTCTGCTGCTTCCTCAGTCAGGCGACGTGCTTCTGCTGCTTCCTCAGCCAGGCGGCGTGCTTCTGCTTCCTCAGCCAGGCGACGTGCTTCTGCTGCTTCCTCAGCCAGGCGGCGTGCTTCTGCTTCCTCAGCCAGGCGACGTGCTTCTGCTTCTTCAGCCAGGCGACGTGCTTCTGCTTCTTCCTCAGCCAGGCGGCGTGCTTCTGCTTCCTCAGCCAGGCGGCGTGCTTCTGCTTCCTCAGCCAGGCGACGTGCTTCTGCTTCTTCCTCAGCCAGGCGGCGTGCTTCTGCTTCCTCAGCCAGGCGGCGTGCTTCTACTTCCTCAGCCAGGCGGCGTGCTTCTGCTTCCTCAGCCAGGCGACGTACTTCTGCTTCCTCAGCCAGGCGACGTGCTTCTGCTTCCTTAACCGAAATATTTGCTTCCTCTTTTGTGTTTGTGCTGTTCGTTGTTTTTCTGAGATCGTTACCCTTTTTTTGGATTCTTTTATCTGTTAACTGTCGAAGTATATCCTCCTTGTTAAACTCATCATGTTGATTTATCCTACTGATGCTTTCCTCAGTGATACCTGTTTTCTTTATTTGGTGTCGCATGTATTTTGTTTGTTTTGTTTGATCACCGCAAGGTATTTTTTCAAGAAAATCATATCTCTCGTCACGCAATATGCGTCCTCTTGAAGCAATTGTCGCCATGTCTTGTGTGCATTTCTCTCTTATAGAGTGGATTCGTTGGTTGAGCAGAAATATGGTGTGGGATTCCTCACTTTCAGGCGGGCATTGGCAATTGCGTAGGATTTCTTGGCATGAGCTCAGTCGTCTATTAACCAGCTTCTCCCACCAATCGTAACAGTTGATGAAGTCGCTTGTGTGGGCTATTTGCTCTTCCAAGCTAAGACTCAAGAGAAAGCGGGCCTCTCTATGGACCGTGTCAGATCGAATAGCAATCACACTCACCGCCTCACTAATTTCGCGAATAATCTCGTCAACGTGCATTGCCTCACGCTGCTCATAAGTGAGGCGCAAGAGAAGTGGAAGAGGTTCATCATATGCGTCGATGTCGGGTGTTCCCAGCGTATCCTGCAGGAATGACTTCGTCTTTTTGTTGATTGTGTCCCACCAGCCGCTGAGAAAGTCGCCAACCCCCGCGAGACCTGAGGATAATGGCTGTTGTCGTTCATCGTGGCTTCGCAGCTCCGCATTAGAGCGCTCCTTCCTTGGGGCAACTGCCTGACGCACCGTCCCACGCACATCCTTAATAAGGCTCCACATTGACGTTTTTTGGCCTCGCAGGGCCACGCCCCAAGCAAGCCTAAAGGAAACAACAGCAATTCAAGAGGCAAACCGCAAAAATTGTTTTGGCAAATGTGACACTCCAAAGAAAAAAAAGTTTTTGACCTTGTACGCAAATTAAATGTGTACCCCCTTCTCACTGTAACAGAACAAGGACTCAAAAAAAAAATGGGTAGAGTTCAGACACATGGTTACAAAAAAAAAAAAAAAACATGTTTACTTCCGGCGTCATTTCATGTTCCCAAAATAATAATAATAATAAACGTGTAAAGGGGGAAAAAAGCCGGAAGGTATTCAGGTTTTTATGTCAGTGTTGTTGTTGATGCCTAGGGCGGATACATATTTTCCTTTAAAAAGCCATCTGGCCGGTGAAGAGGATGAATCTTTGTCCCTCCAAGCATATGTGTGTACTTGCCCCACGGGAACGCTCCCGACGGCTGCTGAAGAGTCGTTGGCATGGGAGGGCCGGAGCGTAGATGCGGTAGAGCGTAGTACCGCTCCATCGTGGATGTCCGCAACACGCCATTCTCATGTAGCTTTCTTCTAAATCCCTTTTTACGGTTCTGCAAGACGATGTCGTTAGCCAACATCTCCACGTGCTGCAGAAGACCATGAGGCACCGTGCCCATCTCTACTTCTCCCCATTCCTGCAGTCTGGGTAAATTATCGTGTACATCCTGAATAGAAATTAGCCCTGTGCGCTCCTCAATCAACTTCAAATGACGTACAATATCATTTCTAGACCACATTTTCCCCGTGTACTGGTGGATGAAAGGCGCCATATAATGCAGCGGGAAGTGGCTCGGTGTGTTATACTCCTGTCCCACTTCCGCATAGTAGTTCCACAACGGCACACCGTCGTTCGATCCATGTGAGTTGTGCGAGAAGGTCCGATTGAATGGCGTCTCCCGGTGATGACGAACAGGATCATCGCTCCACCGCGCCCACGGCCAGTGGCGGTACGCACCCCGGCGGCGCATCCGATAGTACCAATCGACTCCCGAGCGAGGGTCCCATGTGTTGCCGTACTCCTCTGGGGGCTTATTCGCCAGTGGCGAGCGTGCGTGGGGAAGTTTGGGCGGCTGGTACCATGAGCGGTGGCGGCGATGTGCGTAGACCATCACGCGGTTTTCGTAGCCCTTCGCTCTGGACCCGAGCGCAAGGAGAGTGAGACGAAGCGCCATGGCACCAGTGCGGGCGTCCTCTGTGCTCCTCGAAAGAAAGCCTCTTCACGCTGAGACGCAACAGGAAAAAATAGAAAAAAAGAAAAAAGTCACGAAAGAAAAAATAAAATTATTTGCAAACACAAACACGCAAACAACAACAAGCAGAAAAAAAAAATACCTCACAAGCATCCAGCCTCTCCATTGCCACTCGGTCCCACCGCCCCGTGGAGACAACAATTCCATCCTTGCACCCCAAACTTTTTTTCTTCCTTTTATTGTGCGTGCGTGTGCTCCCCCTCCGTTGCTGCGCATTGTTCTTTCTCCCCACGCCTTCACAAATAAAGTGGCGAAAAGGACAGAAAAATAAATATTTTTTTTCCACTTCGTAAGTTCTTTTTTCCCCATTCTTCGAATAAAAGAGAAGGAAGGTACTTTCGCTGCGCGTTATCCCGGTCCTCGTCCCCCTTTTTTTTTCTCCTTGTCTCGGTGAGGCCTCTTTATAACGTCGTGTCCCACATGCTTTCCAGTGAGACCGTAACCACGTGGCAGTCACGCAGAAATATTTATATATTTTTCTTTATGTAGATAGATAAAAAATACTCTTTAAGTTACAAGGAAAAAAACACGCAGTATCACCGGGCATACATAAAAGACCATAAACCCGACCGCAAAGTATGAAACGGTGTACCGGTGCGCCTCCCACAGCCACCAGTGACGGTGTGTACGTGGGGACCACAACTGTACAGGGCCGTTTGGGGTCATATTCTCCTCGCATGCGTGCTTCATCGATATCTCCAAAATGGACGCTGTCTTTCCCACATATTCTGTTTCGCATCTATTGTTAAAATTTGCTTGCTTCTCCTGCCAGTGTGCAGTATCCGCAGTTGGTCCTTCGCTTAGAGGGATGCGATACGCAAGACGCACGCCGTTCGATATTAAATTGATTATTTTCCTCCACAGCCACGGACGATTCGGCGCTGCGCCCCGAGAGACAAAGCTAAAAAAGCCAAAGAGAAGAGGCCTGGCGAGAAATGCGGTTCCCTCCTTCCCAATAGCAACCACTAACAAACAGCACACGTACTGAAACAAAAAAGACCACGAAAAGAACGTGCCCCGCAAATCTACAGGTGGCGTTCGGCATGCATACGTCCCGTAGTGTGTGTACATCACCCATCCACCAAAAAGAGCCCCTAGCGTGGCCCCAAGAAACCGCAGGCTGTCCAAGTAACATGGACAGGGTTCGGAGGGAACTGCGTGGGAAACGGCCAACGTGTGCATGACAAAAAAAGCCAGCAGGTAATGCCACACCTCCACTCTAGTCAAAGAGGCAATCGCCAAAATCCAAACCCGCAAAAAAGCCATGTGAGACAATACAATCAAAAACGCCACGCCAATTCCAGCCACAACATCTGCAGGCCAGTGCATCCCCAGAAACAACCGTGAAAGACTGACATTTAAGGTAAAAAAAATACAAGCCATTGTGCAGGCTACAGTATAGGTGGGAAAAAGAAAAACCAATAAATTGTAAGCACAATACGAGAAGAGGACGCTGTGGGAAGCATGGGTACTCGGGTAGCCGTACTCCCGGGATGCACTCGCTCTTCCACGAAGCTCAACTGGCGGGCACGGTGGCCGTGGACATCCCGCCGCATCCTTTAATGTCCCAGTTATATACTGACTCAGGCACATCAACACGCACATATCAAGTACCTCGTACCACATGCCAAGCCATGCCATCATGGGCAAGAATGCTGTGTAGAATTCCGTCTCCCCCGTGCAGCTCCAGAATTTGAAATAAATTGTCATCCCACGCTGCAAGGAAGGGAAACAGCGTTGCAACCGCAGTAAAATAGATAAATGCTCCTCATTACAGTAGTTCGAGCTGTACCAACTTTTGAATGGTACAACCTGCTGCCTGTCTTTCGGCGGCGTGTATGAATACACATGCCCCCACGGAGAGGGTGGTGTGAGAAACCCCTCTGTGCGTGACTGAGTGTCGCCATTTCTCTCGGGCATCTCTGCACAAATGGTGCCCCCTCCCCCGTCCCCTTTTTTTTCCCCCGCCCGTACTGTCTTTTCCCTTTTTCTCCCCGTTCCTTCTGCCCCGCTGCAGCAATCAATAAGGAGTGCCTTGCCACCCTGATGGGACCTCTATTCCTCCTACTCAAGCCCCCACCCTGCAAAGTGAAAAGAACAGACACACCTGGGTCGAGTGCCGTGGATAAATCAACCAGGAGAAAAAAAAAGTTGAGGGGAGACTCACAGGCAAACACACCCAAAGACAAATAAACCCACAATTACAAACAAAAAAAAAAAGAGATTTAAAAATAAAAAATAATAAAGAAGCCCCAATGGCTGATTATGCTCAGCTGGCGCAAAAAAAATAAAAAATAAAAAATAAAAAATCTGCGGCCACGCAAAAGATACGAACAAACAAAAAAAGAAAAAACAAAAAAAAATGTAAAAAAAAAAGAAAAAAGACCAAATGCCACGCATTCAAATACAAAGACGTAAATTGTAGGGGTTCATCCCCTATTTCTGTAGGCGAGGTTCCTTTTGCCAAAATGTTCGTCGAGGAAGGCGTTTCATGTTGAGCACGCCATAAACCGAAACAACGGCAGCAGGACGCATCTCCTCCTGCTGCTCCAAACCTTTTCTGGGAGGAGCTTCCGATAGCGCGGCAGTAGATGACGATGATGATGATGGGGATGAATGATTCTTCTCGATGTGCCCCTCCAGCTGAGCATCGTTAAATGTGATAACTTTTCGCCGCGGGCGCTCGGACGGAGAGGAGACAACTTCCACAACAGCAGATTCACTAACAATAGCGGTGTTGTTGGTCGGATCGGATGATGCCTCTGATGCTGCATCTTGTCGGAAGCGCACTGCAAAGACATTGCCCGCATCATTGCCCAAACTGGCCTCTTGTGCCACTGCGGTGAAGAGACGCTGCGGCTCTGTAACCTGACTTTGCCGCTGCTCAGTTGCCGCTCTGATTTTTTCCTTCAGGCTCGTTGTGACGCTGCGAATCATTGCCGGAGGCAAACTCTCCTGCGGCGTCTCAAAAGACGCGCCGGCCGCCGCCGCCACCGGGTGGAGCGGCAGCTCGCACGCAAAAAGCGCGTCGACCACGCCCGCCACCTCCTCCCGTGTGCACTGGAGCATTTCCACCGCACCCGCATGGCGTAACTTCTGCTCCTCCCCGCGTAGTCGCTTCGCCCTCACCTCGTCAAGTGCCTCCTCATGCTGCTCAGAGAGAAATCGTATCTCCTCGTTTGTCCGCTCCATCTCCCGTTCACAGTTGGCGATATGGAGACGCCGTGTCTTTATTTCCTCCTCGTCCGCATTTGCCTGCGCCTGCACGGCAGACAGCAGGTTGTAGATGCTCTCCGCAGAGTCACAGGACAAAGCCGAGGAGGGGCTGTGCATAGCGCTGCACACGTGCACGACACCTCTTCCCTTCAGTCAACAGAAAAAAAAAAAAAAAATACACTTATATATGTGTAGCGAGGCAAAGAAAAGAAACTTGAGCAAAAGAGGGAAAAAAGTAGGAAAAAAAAAGATCTCTTGTGTGCTCAGGCGGCAACACACGGAAACATGACTTCGAAAACACGATAAGCACCCCCCCCCACACACACACACAGTCCAATCCAAAAAGTGAATGAGATGCAAAAAATAGTGGACTCTACTTGGAGACAAAACTGAGGGAGTCGCACCGCTTGTGGAGGACAGCAGCTCCCTGCTCTGCGTACTCCGTCCTTGTGATCCACTCCGAGGCGAAGGATGTCAAGCTGGCAAGAATGGCTGCACCTATCCACACACTAAACTTCCGTTCACTCGCAGCGACCACGCGGACGTCTTCAGCGGCACGCTTATTTGCTAGGGCTGCTAGCTCCGACTGCAGACGCTGCTGCATTCCCTTGAACATCGTGTTGCCGCCGGACAAGACAATACTGCCAAGTAGCTGCCGGCGAAGATCGATAGGGCAGGAGTTCACACAATTAATTACAGCGTGTTGAATGCCGTCGTACGGCTTCTCAGCCAATGCCGGGTTGAAAAGAATCTCAGGGCAGCAGAACCGCGCGCGCCCAACGTGAATCACCTCACCATCCGGCAGTGTGAAGGGTTCTTTTCCTTTCACGTCCTCGTTAATGCCATCCTCTTCCGCCGCCTGTAGTTCTTCTTCAAAAAACAACGGTATATAGCAGAGGCTCTCCTTCACGCGCCGTGCAATCTCGCGATCGGCAGATGTAGTGAATGGACGGTCAAGCTCATCGCTGAGCAGCTCCATCATCCACTCCGTCAAATCACGGCCAGCAAGCTCCAGCCGGCGCACTGATTGCGGCATCGTCTGCCCTTCAAATACGGGGACAAGATGCGTTACACCGTCACCGCTGTCCAACACAAGCCCGTCGGTGCGGCCAGAAGAATAAAGTGTGAGCACGGCCTGAATTTGCACGTGAAGCGCTGGCACGCCAAAGGACTCAAAAAGAGTCTCCGCCATCTTCTCACGGTTGCTAATCGGGTTCAGTGGTGCCTCGGTCAAAAGCACAGCCTGGCGCTCAGGCGGCACACGTAGCTGCTCATACGCATGCCGCCAAACACGCTCCATTTGATCCCAGTCAAAAACAATGCCGTGTTCCATTGGATAGAAGTAACGCAGACCCTTCTCCTGCAGGGCTTCGTCTCCCACATACACACGCTGACTGCTGCTGCTGCCGCTGCTCCTGGCATTCATTGAGACTCCTGTAACACTCGGGAATACGCATCGAGGAATCTCTTCACCAGCAAAACCGCACTTAATGTTTCCGCTACCATTGTCAAGAACCACCGCCGGCTCTTCATCCCACAGCGTTGCCTCCATTTTATATTAAGCCTCAAATGTCTGTCAATTTATTTTTTTCGTGTGAGTTTTTTTGTGTTTCTTTGTGTGCCTTTGTGCGGCTGTGTAGCGCAAGAAAAAAGTAAAAGAAAAAATTATGGTTGTTTTACTTGTGTCTGTTTGTTCGCCTCCCTCTTAATAATTATAATGGCATCAAGAAGACCACAGTTCACCATCCAAACGTCTATGGATGACGCCAGTCGTCCACATTCCATTCGATACCATTCATTCATCTATAAAATGGAGCAACGCCAAACATCTTCCAGAACACAACGTGCCGCCTCATGGCACAAGGCGAACGCTGCATTTACGGATGGTGATCGATGTTGTCGCCGCCGCAGCGTCTCAATCAATTCCTCCTCCCACTCAGTCAAATCTCCTTCCATCAGAAGCATCTCCTGCAGCAACGCATTACATTCAGCATCCTTCACCTTATGGGTATTCATGGTATAGAGGGCTGTCATGAGGTGTCCTCCATTCTCTTCATCCGTCCGTGCATCATCCTCCGCTCCATTCCCCTCAAAAAGTAGCGAGTACGGAAAGGTCACCAACTTGGAGGTAAAAAAGGGGCCATCGTCTCCGGCGCGAGCTTCAAAGCGGGAGGCTTGGCGAAAAAAGCAGCCCCCTCCCTCTCGCACCTCATAAAAACCCGGCGCGCAAGGCCCTCCGCCAATAGAAGCAAGTCCGCCCAAAAACTTCGTTGGGTCCGCCTCCGTCGTATAGTAATCAAAAACGCCGTTCTCTTTGTCCCCGCGGGTCCCGACAATTGACGTGTGGCGCCAGCAGTGGTTGAACCAACCAACGCCGTAGCGCCCTAATTCCCCTTCATTCCCAGCAATACCAGACAAAATCGAAAAAAGGGCATAATGACCCATTTCACGACCCTCACTGCACGCATTTGCCTCCTCCTTGACAATGTGACTGGAGGCAACACACCATGCAATATTCAAAGGGAGATCAACTGTGTCTGTAGACCATACGAACGGGGTCGATTTCACAGTCTTCTTCCCATGTTGCCCAAAAAACGGAAGACAGTCACAAGTACCATGCAGCCTCGGTGGCAACTTCCCATTGGAAACGTCATTCGTTCCCTGAAGAAACGTCTTTGGCGCTTCCTCCTCCAGTTTGTTCATTTCGTATAGGAGACGGTGAAACCACGTCGTTGGGTAAATTGATGCTGTACAGAGTAAAAAGTGCGGGGCAAACTCTCGCGCCTCTTTTTTCATAGTAGCCTCTTCTTCTTCTTCATCATCGTCGCCATCGTCCGTTCCCGCACCAAGCCGTAGCGCGGCTCTCGGTGTCCTGAGATGTTCTTTTATAAACCGCAATAGCACCGCAGCATCCCAAAATGCTTCCTCACCCGCCGTACGGAAAGCAAACACGCAGGAAACGGCGTTGCCAACACCAAGAAAGACAAGGTTCAGCACCAATCCGTCCTTTCCACACTTTAGCAACAGGTCACACACGTGTATTAAAGGGGTCTGCTTGGATAAACTTCGCTCCGTTGGCCAACGAGACAACTGGTCCACCGCCACAGCCGCTATGAAGAGTCGATTACGATGATCCGTCAGCTGAAAAAATAACGGGGAGGCAAAAAGAAGGCCGTTTATTGAAAACACAGCAACGAATGTAATTTTGTCAAAATTACCACCCCAAAGTGACTGATGCTTCTTGGCACTCTTATTCACATTATAGGCTGCCACAAGCGTGCGGTCAATGACATCTACCAGGTTCTTACAAGCACGTGCAGCAGAAGATTCAAGTGACTGAAGGCCCTTGCGGTAATGTTGTGCGGCTTTGGCAACGCTGGATACGCACCCGTGGGACTTTACACCCGACACTCGACAGTACAGGAGATTAACAGGAACAACGTCCTGGGTAACAAAGAACAGCAAGGCTCTGCGTCGCACAAATAAAGAGGAGCGCACTTCAGAACGCCCCCCCTTGTTGGACGACATCTTGTCCGAGTCACGCCAATCACTCACACGTCGTTCTTTCCAGTGCGATTCCTGCAACGTTGGCAGGCCGTCGTACTCCACCACCTCATCATTCGCTGCAGGAGCAAAAGCCGATGAGGTGCAAAGCGCATCAAAAATAAGGCGTGCGCCACTGTAGTTTGTGCGTCGAACGACATCAAAGGCGGAGTCAAGCACAACGGTTAGCTCATCCCGCGAGGCTGCCGGGCCACCCACAGCAATAGTCACTTCGCCTAGTTTACCACCCATTTGCTGGCGCTGCACCAACACAAGAATCTCCTCCATGAGGCAAAGACGACTGTCAACGTTGTCATCCTTTTCCAGAGGCATGGCGCATCCACGAAAGCAGTGAAAAGAGCGTGCACGAACAGGATACTCAAACAACTTGTCGATTCCCTCCATGCGCGGGGATGCGCTGAACGAGGGCGCCATAACTCTCAAACCATTCTCTGCCTCCAACCTAATCCATGGCATCCTCCCGCTTCCTTTACCCTCCCTTTTTCTGACAGAAGCCAAGAAAATTCAGTACACACAGAAATAAATAAATAAATGAAATTCTCATCGATGCATACACAGAACAAATTGACGTGGGTTTGGAGCTCAAAAAAGTTTTTATTTCTCTTCTAAAAATTTTCCCAAAAGGAAAGAGCTGTCTTCAGAGCGTTTCTTAAAGAAAAGTACATACCCATGCTTGCAGCTTTTTCCCACATCTACGCTGCCACCAAGACATAATTCCTTAAGTAAATAGTAATCACTTAAAAAAAAAAAAAGATTCAAATAGAACAAGAATTGTGTTCCCTTTTCCCTCTTTTGGCCCAGACACACAGTCAAAAACCGAAAAAAAAAAAAAAGTGGGAAGGCGGAAGCAATCATCCGAGCGCATTAAAATACCCTCACCCTCTTGCCATTTTCCGGCAAGGAAAGGATCGAATGCTTTTCCCAAGATAATAATAATAATAATAAATGCGCATTTTTTTTTTGTGTGTGTGTCTGTCTAATTCTTTTTATTGTTCGTTTTCCTCCACCCCTCTCCTTTCTCATTTCCCTCCCGTGCTTCCTCCATCGATTTCGTTCTCGTTGAATTCATGACGCTCTTCCCGTTGTTTTTATATTTACTTGCGTCTCTTGTCCGCTCTAAAGGTGACTTCGATTCTGGAATCCAAATCAGTACACATAAGGAATCAAACGATACCGAACGATGCTGCATAACTTTTTCCAGTCGGCATCGCCGTACTTCTCAGCCATTTGACGCTCATCTCGCAGCTGACGGTGTATGAGTAGAACAGCGAAGTACACCGGCTGATAGTACGGCAAAATTGCCTCTATGCCCGTCAGTGCCGACCATGCAAATGTCATGAGCCAATCCCCAACATAGTTGGGGTGGCGACATATGCCCCAATAGCCAGAGATGATGAGCGATTTTCCTCGTGATGTCTCCATCACCTTCAAATTCATCACCGCCTTGTCATGAGGATTCTGACGGAACTTATTTTTCTGACGGTTTGAGCCCCGAAATATGACGTAGCCGAAAACAGCAAGCATACAAGAAAACGCCACATATGCGTTGCTCACCTTCACAGGGTGATACGCCAAGAACTTGGTTTTAAGCGTATATGTAAAGGGCACCCAAGTGAGGTCACCAAAGCATAACATGAAACCAAATCCATCGTGCACAATATCCATCATCGTCAGGGTCCCTGACTCGAGTAAAAGTCCATCAAAAACGTAAAATGACTCCAGCAAGGCGATTATAATTATGCTGGGAGTACAAGTACCAGCCTCCACTGCCTTTAGCACAAAGGCCCAATTCAGTACACTCCATCCAATAAGACCTGGGCGTAATTCGCACATAAACTTCCAGTCAAGTGAGCCAGTTCGGGGGTTTAGTTCGCGCCCCATCCAAAAGTCGTAAACAGGATTCCCGGTGTTGCCTCCCAAAGAAAGCAGCACTGTCGGTGCGCGGAAGGATGCTAAATAGAGCACAATACTCATGCCAGTGGAGATTATGATTGAGGCAATCATGAGGGGCGCAAACATCTCCGCCAGGCCTGCCAAGCGAAAAATGCCATTGTAGTGAAGACCGCCCAAAACAGCATGAGTAAAGACAAATACATACACAGCATTCATGTTGTAAACAAGGGTTTTCCCGTTACGCAGCTTCGTCCCTTTCACTCGCCCACCAATAGGAACCATGTAGAGCAGCGCATGCAACAGCAACCACGCCAACTCCAGCCCAATTGCAAATGGAAGTTGAGAAAGGGACGCCCGGATAGTCTCCAAAATTTCCGTAGGAAGATTATAAATGCCAGTAACTGCGCACTGTTCTTCTCCACACTGCACATTGATGATAAGCACAAAGGCCGGGAGGAGCACTGTCAAAGCTAGAGCGCCCACAGGCCCGCCCCATTCGTATTCCACCGTTCGCGGGTTAAGTGGTGTGGCCTGTTTAGGCTCTGGCGCTCTGACACGTGTGAGAGATGTGGCGCGGCGCGGCGTCCTTGAGCGTGACCGTGAGGCCCCTCTAGAGCTCCGTGGCATGTCTGGTACCCTTTGGCCTTTTTTTCTCGGCTTTGACTTCCTTCACGCCGTTGATGTTACCACACGGCGCAGAGAGAAAATAGATTTTAAAAAAAGGAAAAGGAAACAACGCCGTCAGTCGCAAAAAAAAAAAAAAAAAAGGCTCGGTGCGGGTGCGCAGGGTCGCAGGCAGTCGCTTCTTCTTCGCAACAGTCAAACACATATGAGAGAAAATCACCGCAAATCCATCCTGCCTCCCCTCTAATTTCGGTGCGCAGAGGCGTCCGCATCCGACACCACCAGCGCGAGCCCGATAGCGACGAGAAGAGCACCCACCGCCCACATCGCAGTTATTTCCTCGCGGAAGACAAGCAGACCAAGAAAGGCACTCACCGCAAAGTTCGTCCCTGTGTTCACAATTTGACAGACCGGTGTGGGGCCGCACGACAGGGCCTTAAGATGCCAACGCCACATCTGTGCCGTGAAGAAGATGTTTGAGGCAAGCAACAGCACCCGAATAACAAGCGTAACCACACCAACCCACTGCAACTCAGCGTCACGCAATTCCCCCCTTGAAAAAAACGATGCGAGCGCCACGAACAACGAACTACCGCTGTCATTCGTCACTGCAAGTTTTCCCACCACGGCGGAGAGTGCGCCAAATGCCCCTGCCAAAGATGCGTGAGCGAAAAACATACGACTCGTCTTTGAGGAATATCGCTGTGCTTCTTGCGTAAGCAAAGTAATGCGGCTTCCATTTGATGCCTTTACCCTACCAATTGGCGGTGCCGGCTTCATCTGCCTCGTGTGGCTCCTAAAAATATTACCACACACAATCAAAAAAAGTTCAACGAAGAAGGAAAACAACAACAACAAAAAAATGTATATAAACAAAATAAGGATGGAAAAGTGAAGAAAAGCAAAGAAAATCTAGTTGGCCCCGAACTGTAACCTCATTCAGCGCCGTCTTCTTTTCACTCGTGGACTTCGCCACTTTGTATTTCCTTATTCCAAGAAGTGGAATAAGGTTATTGGGCACTATTGCTTTCTATACCCACAAAATTCACACCACACAAACGGCGCACACAAAAAAAAAACTCCGCTGTTTTTGCATTCCAGTAAAGAATTAAGAGTCTCGTGCCATCCCCATCCACCAACGTGGCGCACAATACAGTGCGAGAAAGCACTACCTCTTCGGGGACGCCTTGGAGTCTCTCCATTGAAAACCACATCCTTCGCTTAGTATGCAGATTGATAGCGACAATATACGAAGAACCCGTCAAAATATTTCCACCAAGGTGGCTCCGAAACAAACTATAAAAACGTCCATATGCTCTTGATGTGGAAAAACACATTAAAAAAATCATTTACGCCTTGGACGAAGTGGTTTACCTCTAAAGTTGTTGAACGCACCCAGAGAAGCTGCACAATGCAAACCTATACACATCCCCTCCTTATCCCACCATAGACACATCAAAAACTTTTTTCTTCCCCTACTCTTACCAACACTTCTAGCTACACGGTGGCATCTGGGTGCCAAAGAAGTGGTCGGGCAGCTACAAGAATTTCTTGCTGTAAAGCAAGTGCCATTGGGAAAGCTTTTCGGTAAACAGATCCTCCCTGATGACCAGCTTCCAGCGCACAGCCAAGGTACCTGGACATTCCGGAAGCAGATGGTGCAAGGTTTCCTGCGGGCCGATTGGCGTGCTTGTGGAGGCTGGCTGATCCTGTGGCAGCAGAGATAGCCTCCTGGCACTGCTGTTTCGATGTCGAGTGGCGTCTGGGTTGTGTGCGCAGCGATTTCTGTGCTGTGCGGTGCTTCTCCGTGTGGGGAAAACCATGTCACAGAAATCACATTTGAGCTCGGGAAGCGGTGGAGGATGTTCCGGATGGAATGACCGACAGTGACTGACGAGACCCGGGAATCCCGTCAATGTAGAATCGCAGTACGGACATTTCTCCTTCCGACGGCGTGTGACGGTCCGTCTCCTTACTGGAGAGACGTCTTCCTCCCTCGCCGACGGGGGAACAGTGTTCGTCCCCGGTGCAGTCGGATCGTTGTTAGAGAGCATATATGCAGACTGTTCCGGTGAGATGTACGGCATTGGTTCGTGCAATCTCTCACGGCCCAGTATAGTCGGCCCCAGAGCTCAGATTCCCCGCACCTTGCCCTTGCGAGGTGAACCAGTCCTTTGCGGTGGAGAACTTCCTGAGTGGTCAGGTCCTTACCGCTGAGATCTGATGGCCTTGTGCCGCAAAGCAAGTAGCGATGAGTGTCTTGACGAATGGTACTACGCCACTTGTTGATGTAATGGGTAGTAAAACATGTCAGCAGATCCGTATGCCACAAAGGTGCGATTCCTTGCTCCGTGTATTTTCCGGTTGCCATGGTCTGCGTCGCATACTGATCTGCAAGCTCTTTAGCATGTATTCCGCAATGTCCGTAACAAAACTGCAGGTGCACGGACCAGCCAGCACGCGTCAGTGTCAAGAGACGCTGCCAGATCTGATCCTCCGTCCAGTCTGTCTGACTGAGCGGGCCCTTGTTTAGAGCCGCTAGAAGGGACTGACTGTCTGCAACCACAAGCAGGGTTTTACGCCTGTGTCGGATACGAGGGATCATCAGCTTCTCTAGGGCTAGAAGAAGCGCACGGGATTCCGTCCTGTAGCTGCATGGGCGTGCACCGCGGTTTTGCCACAGACATTTCTATTATCTCCGATGAGTTGAGGGATGAAAGCAGTATTCCAACCCCTGCTGACTTGGGAACGTCGACACCGCCATCCGTTGCGAGTATCCACGAACGATGGCTGTGCAGCGCTAGAGCCTCTTCGCTGACTCTGCGCTTTTCCCGTATCAGCTCCTCTTCGTCCGTTATTGGGAGGTCTATCGGAAGTTCCACACCGATGGTGACCCGGTGGGCGGAGGCCGCAAACCAGGGAGGAATGGAGCTGCGAATGAACCGCTCTTCGCGTGGTGAGCTCTCGGTGATGCCATAGTCCTTTGTGTATGCGTCTACAAAGGCATATAGCTCGTCCCGAGATAATGGCGAGGTGCGGAAAACAGCGCGAGGCGGTGGCTCAGGCGGGGGTCTCCGCATCCAGTCCATCTGACATGCGCGTGTGTTCTCAAATATTGAGAGCCGTGCGCGCAGGCAAAGGACGTGGAGCGGCGGCATATTCGCGTCCAGCAGTGCGGATTCCGGGTCGACAGTGCTCGGAACTCCGCTGACAATGCGCGCCAGAGTTGCGTACGCATTTTGCATCTCATTTTTCGCTGAATCCGTCGCTACTGCCCATATGAGCTCGCTGCCATAGCGTAATTTGGAAGCACCGTATCCAATGACGAACGTGCGTAGGTCATTTGGAGATTGTCCCGCCTCTTTGTGCGCTATGCAGCGTAGCTGGGATATCCGTTGCGAGGCGGCCGCACATTACTTGGAGGCCGCCACATTTAGCGTCAGTCGTGGATCGAGATCCATGCCGAGAAGCTTCGTAGTGTGTGACGCTCCCATGGTCATGACTGGGATTTGGCATCCAGCCACTACCAGGGGCCACTTTCCTTCGCGATCATAATCTGACTCCGTGTGCGTGGAAAGTGTGAACCAAGCGGCTTCACACTTTGACGGGTTGATGGCCAGGCCATTTTCCTTACCTACGCATGCAGCTTTTCAAGAACCATGTTGGCAGTGGGAATGGCGTCTTCCCGGGACTGCCCCTTAACGATAATAGAGAGGTCGTCCGCATACATGTCTGCTGTGACACCCGCAAAGCTGTTCAGCAGATTGAGAAGTGGGTGTACGTAAAGGGAGAACAAATACGGTCCCAGCACGGACCCCTGAGGAACTCCTCGCAGCATGGGACGCCGATCGCTGTGTCTGTGGCCAACTCGTGTCTTCGCGTAGCGACCACATAGAAGGCTTCAAAGCCACCCTCAGGAGTTCACCCCGGAATATTGGCCAGCAAGCGACTGAGGACTCGATGATCTATGGAGTCAAAGGCCTTGCTGAAATCAACCAACACCAGCAGAGTCCGATGGGGTCTGTAGTGGAGTTGATTACCAATACCGCTCTTCTTGGGAAGGCTCACTTGGAAATAGTGATTTCCGTTATGCTCCACTTCGTGTGTCAGCTGTGCCAGCTGCATCGTCGTGGTACGCATACTACGATATGCATACTGGTGGGGGTGTGGCGTCCACACCCAAAGCAATCTCTTCAGTACCATTTTCTCAGCAACCTTACTCACAATGGAAGTAAGGCTGATGGGTCGATATGACTCAAGCAGTTCCGGCGACTTAGCGGGTTTTAAGAGTGGAACGATGGTAGCGCGTCTCCACTCAGCCGGAATCGTACCGGTCGTCCAGCTGCGGTTAATGCAGCGAAGAAGGAATCGAAGACCCTTTGACAAAACATGTCGCAGTGCCTCACTGTAGACTTCATCCGGTCCGGGGGCCCTGCCATACGGCGTATTTCGTAGCGCAGCAAGCAGTTCCGTACGATTAAAAGGTGCATCAAGAGGGGAGTGAAGATGAGCAACTAAACCAGATGTGGTGGCAGCTTCGTTTTTATCCTTTGACTCAGAACTAGATGAGAGTGAAGAACCTGAAGTAAATGTAGCAGCAGACTCGTTGTTGTTCTGCTGCCTAAAATGGAAGAAGCATTAATGTTCAAAGATGCACTCTGTCTGTTGATGCCTTTGGAAAACCCAACTGCCTTGTGAGAGGGGTGAAATGGAAGAAAGATGCGATTGAGAGCATTCACTGCTCTCCTTGCTGTTTTATAGGTGTGTTGACCATCTTCTAATAACATTGATGTGGGAGACGGAAGTGATGCCTTTTTTCGTCCGGAAATGTATTTCCATGCGAGTGGCTCGCCTGGATTTAACTTGCTGATGCGACGTAGATACGTGTTGCGCAAGCGCTCTCGGAGTAGGAGGTAGAATTGACTCCTTGTCCGTTGCATTTCTGCCTCACGGTCGGGCGTCGGTAACTGTA